CTTTTGTGTGTAGAAATGAACGGTGTACAACTTTTGTGTGTAGAAATGAACGGTGTACATTTTTACGTGTCTTTTTTTGTGACCCGGTGGAAATCCTCATGGACCGTCACCCGCCCCCCCTGGAGAAGGGGGACGGGTGGTGTGTGGAACTCGTCTCCCTGGCACTTGGGCAATTGACAACCCAAGGCCAGTGTGCAATGGAGACGCCTACCGCACTAAAACCACCGGAGGTGGACTTCTCTGCGCAATAACTGGACCACCTGGGAACTGCGAAAGCATGGCTACCAGTTGGTCCTGCGCCGCGCGTTGACTCGCGCCCTACTGTGGCCCTTATAGGGGCCCAGTCCTTAGAAGGACTGCCTCCTCTTTCTACCTCGCGGCGGGGGTGCCACCGGGCCCTCCGCCGCGCCCCCTAGTTGTTGATGGGGGCGGGTGGGTCGTGGGTCTCCAGCCCACGCCCACCCCCAGGGTCCCAGACTCCTCAAACTCTCTTCCCCTTTCAGTCGCCTCTTACGACAGGCAGGGTTACCCCGCCTATTCTACAGGCGGTACCCGGACGCCGTAGAGGGGACCCTCCTCTATGCGCCAATCCTCTTTGGCGCTCTCCTCTCGCATTGGTAACTAGCAGCAGAGGACAGGGGGTTGGACATAGCTGTCCGTTCCCCTCACTCTTCTCCGCTTCTCTTACGGGCGCAAATGCGCTGGTTGACGGCGCACTCCTCTCCTTCTTCGCGCCGCACCACCTCCCTGGGTGTTCTGTGGGTCCGCTTCCCCTCTTCTCACCCTTTCCGCCTCCTCCTTTTGGAGCATTACGCTCTCACAAAAGGAGGAGAACGAATTCCACGCGTCCCCGCCTCCCACCAGAGCTTCCACTATGGCCTCTAGTGAGAGGTACATTTTTACGTGTCTAGGTGAACAGTGTCCATCTTTCACGTGTACAAAGAAATGGTGTACGACTGAACGGTGTACATTTTTGACGTGTCTAATTGCAACGTGTCGAAAATTTATTTTCTACGTGTCCAAAAATCACTGTGTCTAAAATTTCTGTGTCTAAATGAACCGTGTCCAATTGAACCGTGTACAGGGTGTTTCGGCAGCATACGCATCAGCAAGTTGGGTTGCCTATCTGCTTGCCGACAGGGGCACACTTTATCGGGCTCAAAGAATAAGATCACATGCAAGTTCGGCGGTTTTCTAATTCTTATACAGTGTATGTGCAGTTGTATTTTAATACTTAAAATAATATTATTGTATTATAATTTTATATTATAAAATAAAAATATTTTATTTTGGTTTAAATTTCTTCATTAAATTTTATATTCTATATTATTTTATCTATTAAAATACAACTGCACAGACACTGTATAAGAATTAGAAAACCACCGAACTTGCATCTGATCTTATTCTGTGAGCCCGATAAAGCATGCCCCTGTCGGTAAGCAGATAGGCAACCCAACTTGCTGATGTGTATGTTGCCGAAACACCCTGTACACCAAAATGTGTCCATTCGAACCGTGTCTATTTGCAGCGTGTCCAATTGTACTGTGTCCAAGTGAAGGCCACTCATTCGTCGGTTCGCGCAGTCGTCAATATGTTTCTCGCACTGCTGGATAGGCGTGATATTCTCGAGTGGTCTCCCGAACAGTTACGTTTTCTGTCAAAACACATTCTGCTGCGCTACTTCGGCACCTATGTAGACCAGTTGTGGGATAAATTGGACGTTACTCTGAAAACTGACCCCGAGGTGCAAAGTTATCGCGCGTGTCTCGAGCATTACAACCAACCTTGGCAGAGAACGCACATTGACGGTCCACCGCCACTCGTTAGGGATTGCGTTCAATGTCAAAGCAAGCGAAACGAATAGGCGCCGGTCTGTTGAACAGTGCGATAAACGCGCTTCTTTTCGAACTACACGTGCCCGGTTATCAATTTTGCGGACCTGGAACTCGTCTCGCCGAACGATTGCAGCGCGGTGAGCGAGGGGTGAATCCATTGGACGCGGCGTGCCGCGAGCACGACATTGCGTACTCGCGAAACGGTAAACTCGTCGATCGTCACGACGCCGATCGAGTCCTCGCTGAGAAAGCGCGCGATAGTATTACAGCGAAAGACGCGACCCTTGGCGAGAGAACCGCGGCGACCGCCGTATGGGCCGCTATGAAGGTAAAAACGAAATTGGGAATAGGTATGAAGAGAGGAAGGAGAACGAGGGGGAGGAAGAGGACGAAGAGAATATTGCCAACGGCGAAACGCGGAGGCTTATTGCCCATTCTACCAATTTTGGGAGTACTTGGTTCCTTGATTGGTGGAGCCGCCGGTGTAGCAAAAGCGGTGAACGACAATAAAGCCGCGCGACGTTAGTTAGAGGAGTTGCAACGTCACAATCGGACGATGGAGGGTCGCGGATTGCATCTCGAACCGTACAAAAAACATGGAGATGGTGGTTGTGGTAGACAAAGAAGCGGTAAGAGTGGGAAAAGTAAAAAAAACGTGGACGGAGACGCTAGAGGCGCTCAATTTACCGAAGTTTGACGTCACGACGAGCGGACAATTGAATCGAGCGGCGCGTGAACTACGCATACCACACTTTAGAGGTGTGTTCATGCGTGACGGTTTACCCATAAAAGCGCGACGTCAGGAGTGTGGCATCGTAAATCTCGACGACAAGGTGGGTCCGGGTACACATTGGGTTGCCGAATGCGAAAAAGGTGAACAGTGTTGTATACTTTGACAGTTTTTGAAATCTTCAACCTCCGCGAGAACTCACGCGCTATCTAGGGGACGCCAACGTAACGTACAAACATCAATCGTATCAAACATTCAATCAAACTTTCTACGGTCAATTGTGTTTGCGGTTTCTTTACGAATTCGATTGGACGCGTCCTAGATAAAAAACCAGCGCACTCGAGATACACTTCAGTCGACTCGACCATAATGTCGCTGACGCTCACGCTGACGAGAACGAGCGGTGTTCTCGTCGCGAGCTATTTTCCCGCTCTTGATCTCAGTGACGGTGAATACGAGTTGGGTCTTGCAAATTTTGAGACCTACAACACGATACCGAACGTTAATTCAACGAACGATACATTTTACTTTGGGGAGAACGACGAAAAGATCGTCATTCCCGAAGGATTGTACGAGTTGCGTGCCATCGAAAGGTATCTCAAAGCTGCGATTCTCGACAGACGGTTGAAAAAGTCAAAGGATGACGATGTCTTCCTCAACGAGTATCGTGTGTACGACAACGATGAGTATGATGATGACGAGAAGGAAAACCAATATAATATTGTTCTCCGCGCCAATGAAAATACTATGAGGACTGAGATAAAATGTATGTATAGAGTAGATTTCTCAAAACCAAACAATATTGGCTCCGTATTAGGTTTCTTAGCAACACGTGTATTGGAACCAAACAAATGGTACGTGTCTGACAAACCAATTAATATCATGAGTGTCAACGTCATACGTGTGGAATGCAACATTACCGCGAGGGCTTACAACAACGACAAACCAGTACATACGATACACGAGTTCGTGCCGAGTGTTCCACCGGGATATAAGGTGTCGGAAACGCCGACGCAGATCATTTACCGGTCCTCGTGAGGAGCATCACCGATATAACATTGCGAGTGGTGGATCAAAACGGTCATCCGATTGATTTTCGCGGGGAAGAGATAACGATACGATTGCACGTGAGAAAACGTGTAGCGTGAGATATGCTACACACGTTATACCATGCCCATTGTTGGTGATTCGTGCATGAAAAAAAACAACGCGTCTTTTCCTTACGTTGAAAGAAAAGGAGGAGGAGGAGGAAGAAGAGGAGGACGAGAGAACGGAAATCTGTTGAGCTCTGCGAACGTCGCGTTTCTGTGATCGCTCGGATTCATTGTGAGGAACAAGAATTATGGTGGTCGACATCCTGAGTATCGGAGGTGAGCCGATTTTCGACGAGCGCATCGTCAAGATTGAAACTCACACATACAATCCCTACGCCAATGCAACGTTCGGATACAGCGATGAAGTACGAATACCCATACAACAGCAGGATCTGTACACTTTACCGTGTGAAAGCGCTCTGTACGTGGAGGGAAAATTGTCTGATGAGGCATCGACGTCGACGAATCAGACGTCGAAACTTGCGAGCAACTTCGTCGCCTTCATGTTCGAGGAGATACGTTACGAGCTCAATGGCGTAGAGATCGATAGAAATCGTAACGTTGGAATAACTAGCACGATTAAGAATTACATTTCGTTGACCTCCAACGAGCTCGATATATTGCAGAACGTTGGATGGGGTGAGCCAAACGTTTCCGATAGCGGTTCTTTCAGCCTGTGCGTCCCCATAAGAATATTATTAGGCTTTTGCGAGGATTACAAACGCGTGGTGGTGAACGCTCGACACGAACTTATTTTGATACGCGCGCACAACGATAACAATTGCATCGTAGCGACAGCGAGTGCTAAGAATCCTAAAATCGTTCTTTCGAGGGTGCAATGGCGAATGCCGCACATTGTGTTGAACGACGTTAACAAATTGTCGCTTTTGCGAACATTGGAGGGCGGACGATTTTTAAGCGTTGGATTTCACTCGTGGGATCTGTACGAATTTCCTTTACTGCAGAGCACGACCAAGCACTCGTGGACTGTAAAAACCACGGCGCAACCAAAGAAACCGCGATACGTTATCTTGGCGCTACAGACTGGACGAGAAACGTGTTGACAAGCGACACTTCGACTTTCTATTATTGCAAGCTCACCAACGTAAAACTGTATTTGAATTCAGATTTCTATCCCTATGATGATATGAATCTGGATATAGATAATAATAAATTTGCTGTACTGTACGACATGTATGCAAAATTTCAGAGATTGTACTATGGACGAAAGCTCGATGATGCGTATCTAAATGTAAAATCATTCATACGTCCGGCCCATTCGTGGTGATCGGTTGCTCTCGTCAGAACGAGGCTGTGAAGAGCGCCACTGTGGACATTCGCGTAGAGGATTGAATGCGAGGATAACGTTCCATCCGACACCACAGCGTATTGTCTTATCATTCATGATCGAGTCATTCTGTACAGCCCGTTGACGAACGTCGTACGCAAGATTGTGTAGCGGTGAAGGGTCGACGTACGGTGAAAAGTATATAATTTTCATCATTACTGGTGACAATAAGCAAACTCTCCTTCGTCGAAAGTAATCGACACCGCAAGAATCCGGCGAAACCTGTGTAAAGAAAACTATACATATTTCTACCAATATTGCATTAATGTCTTTTTCCACACGTATCCTATACTTCTTTCCGTTTGTGCACTCTCCCTTCCACAGCATATTTTTAAATTTATTCATATCTCGATCTTATATGTATGGGTAGGAAGCAGAAGAAAAATGTTAGTGGATGAAAATTTTATTTTATTATACAATTATTAATTTTTTTCGTTCATCACCTCGTTTTAAGGTTTCAACAATAAGTTCATCTACAGCATAAACTATTAATTCACAATCTATGACAGAAGTTTTATTATATACCTCGTACAGTATACCAATTGCATCATCTCTCTCGGCACTGGTCATATTACTTTGCAAACAACACACAAATTGATCGAAGCTTTCATTTACAGCATCTGTATCCTCCGACTGTTTGCGATATACATGCTCTACACAATGTTCGAGTTTGAGTAAAAATAATACAGTTGACATGTTCATGTACATGCAAGTGTCATCTAACGTGAATTTTACAACTTTTTTATTGTACATTCTAACAAGTTCTAAAACTAAATTGTCAATCTGTACCGATGATGATGCGTCTGTTGACTTGAAGAGCTGCTCTATTTCGGCACGTTTCTTGTTAAATTCCATCCACGTTGAATAATTTAACGCCATCTTATTTCCACGATTGTCGCCGAGAATGAATTCCACATAGGATGCATCAGGTACCACGCAGATTCCAACATCCAAGTATGCAGTAGATGTCAGGGCGAATCTCCTGCTCATGATACGAGGTTTATCAGAACTGAAAGAATACATAAAGTAAAATAAATACAAGTAAATCAGGAAAAGTATGAACAAATTTACAATAATTTTAGGGTACTTACGCATCATGCTGTTTCTTGCACGAAACAGTTTCATGTCGAGAAACGGATGGCGTATAACTGCTTCGAGGAACATACGGCATGTAACGCCGATTGCTAAAACTGTTTGAAAAACACAATTAAATGTTGAAAAATGCATGCAATATATATGCAATATATAACTTTACGGTACTTACGCGTTACACTGTTTCTTGGACGACATATCCAGAGGAACGTAATGATTCATTCTTCTAACACTGTATTGGAAACACCGGAGAAATCGACTCACTTCGACGGCGACGACTGAAACTCTGAGGACGTATTTACTAGTCCCAGGAAAATTGTTAACTTACCCCACCCTTAATCCTACATCTTCCTCCCTCCATCCCAACCGCTGCCGTCTGCGTTCTCCTCTCCCTTCCACGCATATAGAATAAGATAGAAAAATCTCGCCTGCGTTCTCTCCCTCCCACTCTCTTAAAAAAACACTTAATTTATTACCCCATTAACCCCTTTTTTTGTTCAAGGAAAAAAACAAGATTTATTACAAAAAAATTTATTATTTAAACTTTTTTGCAACAAAAAACATTATTTATATATGTTTAAACAATTTTTGCTTCCTCATAGAGGAAGCTTTGTTTTCGCGAAAAAAAATTTTTCCAGTTTTCTTTGGGAATATGTTTAAAATGTTTTAAAACGTCTAAAAATATTAGTTTTACAAAATGTCTGTGTGTGTGTGTGTGTGTGTGTGTGTGTGTGTGTGTGTGCGTGTGTGCGTGTGTGCGTGTGTGCGTGTGTGCGTGTGTACGTG